CTTTTCCAGTTACTTGACATGATTCAGTGGGGGTGAAAACCAGAATATTTTTATTGTATTGATACCAAAACATTTCTAATAAGAGCTTGTTAAATTTAAGAATAAAGTTATTTAAAATAAAAACAAACAAAAAAAACATGTTATGGTGAAATATATTCTTATTTCTTATAGATTGCCCTCATAATAAAGTTATTTTTTAAATCTTAAAAATAGGGGCGGGGGTCACAGATCTCCCACCCAGGGAGCACCACCAAGTAAGTGTTCAGCAGCCTGGTGTGACTGTGCTACAAAGATGATTGTGACTTGGGACTTGAACAAAAAATGTTAGAAGGCACCATGTAAATAAAGGAGCTATTGAACACACCCAGTGAGCTAAGAGCAAAGCAAGGAGGGTGACAAAGACAACATGGGGGCCGTTCTGCTAAGGCCTGCTCTCCCCAAGAGCCCGAATTCTGCACTGAGTGAAACAGACACGGGCAGCTGGTGTGTGAAACAGTGTTGCTGCTTGGGAAAGAAGGGAAGGTAAGATATTTCTCCACAGGGGTTTGATTACAGAAACTAATATTCTTTTTTTTTTTTTTTAAAGATATTTCTCACGGGTGCATCCTCTGACTCATGAAGACGTTTTAGCTCACGAGGCCATGCCTCCCGGTTCCTTTCTTAGGGTCACATGAAAATGAGCAACGGGTGGGTCATCAGGAGAGGGCTCTCCAGGGAAGAGGAAAGTGCCTTTAAAGGAAACCTGTGGGCAGTGGTGTGGGGGCACACACACACACACACACACACACACTCACTCACTTGCGTGGGGTGACCTCTCCATATATACAGAGCCGCCCTCACCTCCTCCAGGGTCCTGAAGGAGGATCCCCTGGGTGGGGTCCTGCAGGAATCCCGGCTGGAGCTGACAGGAGTCAGGCCCACTCTGAAGGTTCTCTCCAGGTTCTCTCTCTCCCCTCCTGATTTTTGCCATGGGATGCAGGTAAGTAAGAATGAAAGGGCCCAGTGAGGTAATGGCCAGGGGACAGTGTGGCCTAGCAGTTCAGAGCACTCAAAGGAGCCCTGGCTCTGCCACTGAGCAGTTGTGAGGCGTCGGGTAATTCACGCAACTTCTCTGTGCCTCGGTCTCTCTGTCCACTTCAGGCCTTTACGCGTGCTTCCCCTACTTTCCCCTTCCCAGCGTGGCCTGAGCCTGTCGTCAGTCTGGTCGCTTGGACGGCACTTCCCCAGGAGGTTTTACCTCCTGTCTGCAGGACAGGATTCCTCCAGGTGCTCCCGTCACACCAGGAGGTGGACGCCTCTGCTGGGCAGTTGCTTATGGCCGTCAGTGTCCCCACCGGATCTGAAGTTCCTCAAGAGAACAGACTGTATCTGAGTCACCATTGTACCCCTGACCCCTGGCATAGTGCCTCGCAGAAAGTGGTCCCCTAAATATTTGACTGTTCATGAAGGAATGAAAGAAAAGCCTGGCTGCCCTGACCGGTTTGGCTCAGTGGATGGGGCGTCGGCCTGTGGACTCAGGGGTCCCGGGTTCGATTCCGGTCAAGGGCATGTGCCTTGGTTGTGGGCACATCCCCAGTGGGGAGTGTGCAGGAGGCAGCTGATCGATGTTTCTCTCTCACCGATGTTTCTGGCTCTCTGTCCCTCTCCCTTCCTCTCTGTAAAAAAATCAATAAAATATATTAAAAAAAGAAAAAAAAAAAAAAGAAAAGCCTGGCTGATGAATGAGGTAGACAGACACAGGGAACTGGCAGCCCCCTCCTCCAGAGGACTTACTTGACCACTTATATTGTTGCCCAGACATCCAGCCCCGGGTCTGTTCACCCAGCCGGGATCTCCGGTTGGAACATGGCCTCCCCTGAAGCCCGATTTTAAGGTTTTACCTTATGATCCTGCTTGTCCCTTCCGACATCAAATTAGCCAACCTCTTTGCTAATCTCCTGGCTCACATTTTTGGAAGCATTTCTCAGAATGTTGTGGTTTCTAGGAAAACAGAGTCAGGGAGAGAAAGTGAAACTCAAACGAAGCCCTGGCCCTCCTGGATGGAGCATCATAGTAAGTCCTGTGGGCGTGAGGTCAGCCAGGATTCTCCGATTTCCACTCATCCAAAGGCCAGCCTCAGCTTCTTAGTTTTCCCTCTGCATGTCCATATTCTTTAGTTTCCCTTCTAAAACTCTCCTGACAGGAAAATTTCACATAGCAGAGATGGTCAGGGGGCGATTATGTTGGTGGTCTGGTCTAGACAGGCTTCCTCAGAGGTGGAATGACTTGAAGGCGGCTGGAGGCATTCCTGAAGGAAAGCTTCTCTCAGCTGGTCTAGAGACCATGCTTGAAAGTCCAACCTCACACCCGTCCTCACTGGGCCCTCGACAAAACGTCAGTCATCAGGTGGGGTGTGGGTTAAAGTTGTTGCTTGCCAACACCCCCTCCTCCCCGAATTGATCCATTCACTGGAACAGAGAGCCCGGCCCTCGGTGACAAGACAGTCTGGGGAGGGAGGTTGCCCAGACACACACTTGCATCCCAAACTTCGGGGAGGACTGTTATCCTATAGGGGCCCTGCCTCCTGACAGCAGGCAGGCTCTTCACCCCAGGACCTGAGGAGGAACAGCTGCTACTCGGGGCCTAAGCCAGGAAAAGAGGCCTCGTGTGATGGGTCAGCTCGGGGAGAGGGGAGGAGACAGGACACCTCGTCTCTCCTGGTCCCTGATCTGCACCCTTGCTGTCAGGCTCGTTGTATCCCTGGGGTTCTGTTCCTTCACAGCCTATCCCAAACTGCCCCAGCACATGTCCCCTCTCCACTGAAATTTGAACTTTCATCAGAGACAAATTATTCAATTCACTGTGAGAAACAAGGCATAGAGAGTGAAGACCCCGTGGAGAGGGCACGTGGGGTAGGCAACTCATCACACTGAAATGCAAATGCCATTGAAGCAGGAACTTCCCTGTTGGCAGGAGCCCGGAGATGAGCTTGGGCTCCGAGATTAGGGGAAGCAAAGGTCACCAAGGGCTGTGGGGGCTAGGGAATGAGGGAGAAGGGCAGGAGCATCCCCCAATCAAGAGCCCTACTCAGTGCTCTGTCTGGCATCAGTCTCTCTACCATAAACGTCAGTCTGGACAAAATAAAAATTTAGGGTAGTCATTCCTAGGAAGAGATCCAGAAAGATGGTAGGATCAGAGAGGGCACACTTGGGGCTTCATAATATTAGCAGTAATGACCTATTTGTAAACTGTTGTATTTACATGTTTAATTATCCCATACAATTTACAAGTACAAATATATTATATACATTATGTTTAATTCATTAAACACTGAAATATTTTATTATATGTGTATGTATATGTATATGTGTGTGAGAGAGAGAGAGAGAGAGAAAGAATGATCCATACATTTAAAAAATATTATGTGCAAAACCATGTGTTAGAGAGGAGTGTCAAGACCCTTAAGATGAGACAGGCATGTAACTGAATACGAAGTGGCAACAGGCCACTTCTTCAGGAAGTCATGATATTGACCTTTTTTCAGATCCACATTGATGTGAGTTTACCCTAATATTACTAGTCCTATTCTATTTCATATATATACTAGAGGCCTGGTGCACAAAAATTTGTGCACTCGCGGGGGCGGGGGTTTCCCTCAGCCCAGCCTGTGCCCTCTCGCAGTCTGGGACCCCTCAG